ATAAGAAATAGCATCATTATACTTATTTAGAAGAGTTTGATTTCGACCGTTAGAAAGTATCGAAGGACTTTCACACGTAACAAAAAATAATTTTTTAATTATTGTTACCGAGGACCGGTTCTGTGATGGCCAAGAAGATCTAAGAACCCTAACTGGTAGTACCTATTAACATAGTTTAAGGAAAATAATTTCCTTATACTATGCTATTAATAAGAGTTTCCGGAACCGTACTAAAATATTTTCGTTTAATGATTGTCACTCAAAAGCAAAATCGATAAAAAATTGAGTTTCAAATGGAAATAATATCAAATTATTTAGTCATGAGAAAGTAAACATGAACACAAATAATGAACAGAAGCGAAAAAAAAAAGAAAACACATAGGTAGCTTAAAAATTACATCAAAAAATAGCAACCAACCTCGAAACCAACTTGACTAAATTTGAAAAAAAAACATTTTCAATTAAAGATGCAAATGCCTATAAAAACATAACAGAAAAAAAATATATATAAATAAATTCGGGTCAGAACGTCCTACGACGTTGTCCGATGCCTAATTTCCACCCTGTGCGATTTTGCCATTGATCTTCGGTCAGATTTTTCTCGCTCATCGACCTTCTTATTCCTTCCATCCATGTTTTCTTGGAACGTCCTCTCTTTCGTTTACCAGGTGGTATCCAATGAATTACTTGTTTTGGAATTCTTTCATTGTGCATTCTTTGAGCGTGGCCGTACCATATTAATTGTTTTTGTTCTATATCATTTACTATTGTTCCCTCTATTCCCATCTGTCGTCTAATGTCTTCATTTCTGATCTTATCCCTCCGTGAAATTCTCATTGCTTGTCTAATCGCGTCCATTTTTGTTGTCTCTAATTTGCTTTTATTCTTTTCAGTGAGTCGCCATGTTTCACATCCATAGAGTAATATGCTTTTAACTAGTGTCTCTTTTATATTATATTTCCTGTTCTTTGTAATTTCAGTGTTCTATAGAATGTCATTTATGCATCTGATAACTCTTCGTGCCTGTATTACTCTGTTGTTTATTTCTCTATATTTATCCGTTCCATCTCCTGTAAATATCGAACCCAGGTACCTGTAATCTTTACATGCCCTAATTTCCATATTATTGTCCAAAATAAGATTTTCTGTATTGGCTCCAATTGGAAGGTATTTTGTTTTTTCTGTATTTACTGTGCGAGACCCCATTTATCGTATTCTTCAATTATTTTCCGCACCATATATTCCATGTCATCTTTGTCGTTTGCAATTATGGCTTTGATGTCTCAAAAGAACCGGGAATTTCCGGTACTTTCGGTACCGGGACCCTAGTGGCAGAAAACTATGCGTCTTGCTGGAATGACGATCTTGGAATATCTAGATCTATCTTTCCTCCTCCATGTTTAACCGAGGGATTTACGTATTTTGGGTGTAGCCTTTTGCCTTCTGGACGATGTACCCATCTAGCACCATCACTCCCAAAGATGCAAAATTTTGATTCATCTGAGAACAGCACCTTTTTCCACTCTCGGGCGGTCCACTGACGATGAAAGGTAGCGAATAGTAATCTCGCATCCCGGTTTTTCTTTGACAATAACGGTTTCTTAGCAGGTCTTCTAGCCTTGAGACCAGCTTCAACTAGGCGTTGCTGAATAGTCCTGGAAGAAACCTCTGGTTCCCCCAAATTGGCCAATACCTGTTGAGCTGACATTTTCGGCTCCCTTTGAACTAACCGTTTAATGCGACGATCAAAATGTTTATTGGTTTTTCTATGTTGGCCACCTTGTTTTAAGTTAACTACACGACCGCGATTCCGGAAATTTTTAATTGTCTTCGACACAATATCTTTTTTGACCAAAAACCTTGTTGATATGTCTGCCTGCGACATGCCACCTTTGTAGGCGTCAACGATGCGTTTTTCAAGTCAATTGAATAATGTATACCCCGAGGCATTCTACAAAGCAAAATGGTTACTTGTATCAACACTCTCAGAAAACTAACACTGCGTAAAGATCAAGTTGCTCTAATTTTGTCCAAGAATTTCATAAACATATTTGAAAAAATGGAAAAAATTACCGATAAGGGATACATTTAAGTCAACAAATAATCGAAATGTTTTGGTTGAAAGAAACATTCCATTGCAAAAATAAATAAACCGATTCAAATAAATGATGGCAGTTAAATTCACATTTTTCTATAGTTGCTCTAATTTTGTCCGATACTGTATATCCTTCGAAAATTTCTGTGGTGCTCTGGAAGCTGAAATTATTTGAACAGTACATTATTTTTAAACGGGGCTCTTTTTTGGTGTTCAATAGAAAAGTAAAAGTGAAACGAAATCCTTTTATGACGTGGGTATATCTTTCGAAAACGATAATCGTCCACGACGCGTGACAATTTCGATTGTATTCGCTGCCCCCCGACCACGACGATCACGTCACCTCGGCACGCAACCGGACACAACCATTACCGATTGTCGTATATCTACACACATACACACAATCGCATATACATATCTGCATACTATACGCGACCGTGCTGGCTGCACCCCTCTTCCGAAATAAATTATTAATTGGCATCCACGTCTCTTCTGATTACCGATCGCCAGATTTATGATTCATTTTACGACGAACCATCAATCACCGCTCACCCCGCCCCCCTCCCCCTTCCGCGGGCGAGCCCCGCCTTTGTGCAGCACATTCTAGCTGGCTTTGATTAATACGTATGGCTGTCATTAAAGTCGAACTTGGCCGATGCACACGCTCATATCGCATTCAGGAAAAATACGAATAATAATAAATAACCATACAATGCGTTTTCCTGTACGTGTGTGCGTGTACACGGGCTCGCGACTTGATCGACGTCTCCTCTTAACATCCATATTAATGTCCGGCGGGTCCTCCGAGTCGAGAAACATAATGGATAGGTTCGACGAAGGCAATCGTACGGGACGTGCATGAAATGGATATGGAATAAACCTCGAAATCTCCACACCTTATTGATATGATTTTGGTTGGCATTAGTTGACAGCTTAAGGTGTATTCACACCCATGCAGTGTTGTCAGAATTGAAGGATTTCCTTCAATATGAAGGATTTTACAGTTAAATTTTGCCGAAGGATTTTCATCCAAAAAGAAGACAATATGAAGGTTTCTAGCAGTTTTGCACAATAAAAATTGTTAAAATATGTAGTAGGAGTGTGTATTTCTCTATTATGAAAGTTGAAACTTGGATTCTCCCATGAGACGAATAGCCATATTAGTGATGGGATAACTTGAGCGAATATTCGCTCGTCGTTGAAATAATAAATAGATTGAAATTGTTAAAACTACGGCAACCTCGCTTAATATCGTTGCATGACGCAAGCTCGACACGGCGGCGCGGCTCGGCGTCTCAAAACCAGTTGTCACGCGGCACTTTTGGCGAACGGTTGGTTCGTTGGTTGTCGATGGCATTGTCGAAATACGTCGAAAAAATAGCGAAAAAACAAAATACGTATTTAAAATTGTCGAGTGAAACATGTATTATAATGAATCATTTTATTAAATTTATTCCAAAATAAAGTTATTTTGCAGCATAACAAAGATTTTCGTAAACGTCATAAAGGTAATGTTTAAATTAATATACGGTGGTTTTGGTTAAGTTTTCATTGAAAGGATAAGTACTAAAAATAATTAATGTGCTTTTTTTCTAGAATTATTAGATCTATTAATCTTTTATCACTGATAAAAGATTAAATTTAACATTCTTAATTTTTTGTGTAGAAATTTGTCTGTCAATTTATAAATATATGAACTATGTAGAATGTGGATAACATAAGAGGTCGCAACACTGCAAGGTTTAGATACACCCTAGAGAAATCTCAGATGAATAAACAAGTGGCACTAAAAAGTTTTTTATAATTTCCCGGAAAATGACAAGAAAAATGTTAAATTTTCAACAATTTTTTTTCGCGAAAAATCCTCGTAAGCCTGTTTCTATGGTTGAAATTTACTACCAGTTAAAATACTTGCACTTATTTCTGAGATACCCTGTATACTATAGGTATAATATAATATACTTTACGTGGAAGTAAATAACAATAAAAACAATATAATCAAAATAAATCTAATATTATGTATAAAAAAACTTGGTTCAACTCGTTATATTAGAAAAAAAACCTAATTAAAATAGCAGAACTAAAACATATAATCTTAGTACTTAATCACTTAAACATAGTATTCTGTGCTAAAATTCGGAGTAGTTTTCTTTTTTTAAGTTTAGCCACTAAATATTAGCTATAAACCAAATATTAGCCACTTAATAACAAAAGTTGTTTATGCTCCTTTTGCCTTTAAGTATAAACGTCTGTGAGCTAAGAAATTACTATTTTCTCTGTGTTTCCATATCTCCAAAACCCAACATATATTTTCCTAAACAACAACAACTTCCTCCTCCTCTCTAATAAAGCTAACCTGATGAAAATATAAACTTCACCAAACGCTTATCGTCGACCTGGAAGATGGTCGACTTACGAAGTAATTTGGCCATTAATAATAGAACAGCAAAACTTTGCAAGGGTTATCATTTATTTAAACATACGGACATATCACTGTTTCAAAGTATCAGTTTTTGATTCATTATTAATGGATCGAATGTATGTGAGGGTTAAAGTTTTATATCAATAGGGGTAACAGAGCAAAATAACGTGGTTATAAGGGTTTATTTAATCCCAGAGAAACATAGAAAACGATAATAGAGGGTGACCTGAGATACAGAGGGATTCAAATATATTTTTACACCAAGGTTTTCGTTTTTTTAAACGGGATGTTGTTGTAAATGGAAGTAAATTTTTTATAACCAGTTCATATTCTTCACTGTCTACGTGTGTTATGATGACTCAACATATACAAGCAATATACTAACCAAATCAAAATGATTTTGCGTTCCCGATATTCATAAAAACAACAGGAGAATTGTTATCAATACAATTGCAATAATATACCTAATAGAAAATGACTTACCTGTATGAATATACGTGTGCTTCTTCATATCAGACTTTTGGTGGAATCTCTTGCCACAGTATTGGCAAGGGTACGGCCTAGTGTCCGAGTGAATCAGTAGATGCGTTGACAGTGTTGACGATCTCTTAAACGACTTGCCACATTGTTGACACTGTAACAAAATGAACAGGTTATCAGTGCCAGATCTACAAATAAAGTTAGTAACACCTAAATATACGGTGCGCTCAACAATGGTTGAAGCAGTTGGCAATACTGTGCTAAGAGTATTATAGGATTCGTGATTATCGATCGAATTATCGATCGATATATTCATAGCTAATGTTTGCCATTTATATGTCAGTTTTTTGGATTCTCTTTTACTTTCTTAACTGAAAATTGGCTAAAAATTTTGATTTTGTTATTCGCGAAATCGCTTTATGTGTTTTTCAATACAACTACAGTACTAATATCGTTAAATTTAGTGATAATCTATAGTGATAATGGCTGATAATTATTAGTATATATAAATATAATTTATTGCCAACCGAACGAGCAAAATTACAATAGAGCCCAACTAGCATTTATAGTGGCAGATACCTACATAACTGGTACTAGCAAAGCCGCTACAAAGTGGACGGTGACCATCGGCGTCGTATATTCGTAGCTGCTAGTAACTGCGACCAAAATGGGGAAAGATTTTGAGTAGCCGGGTAGTGTCTTGGGTAGTTTTCGCCACTAAAATGTTACTATGATGTAATGCGACTTATCTGTTACGAAGCTACCTAGTCGCGGGTCCATGGCAGCCAAGTGTTATCCACCGACGCGACATGTGGAACTTTCGTTAAACTGTTAAACTTTATTCGTAGCGACATCTTCCTTCAATTTCACATTTCATAGAAATAAATGTCACGTCGAAAATAACTCTGGAAGCCATTATTAGGTACTTTTTCAGTATTTACCGTGCGATTTAACGCCTTTTTAGATAAATTCCAGAACGCAATCGACTTTACTGAATAAAATAGTGGGTTTATATGACAACATTTTCGATCGTCTCTAAAAATATTTCAAATTATTATATTATTTGCAATAGAAACTCATGTAGTAATTAAAAATAATAATAATTTGCTTGAAACTGGAATCAAACTTTAAAATATTAGTCCACTGTCAGAAGTAACAAAATAACTAAGGAAAAAGCTTTAATCTAGGTATATTTAGCTTGAAAACGCATAATGTTTGAGCCATTTGGCTGTTCGTCTAAAAAGTCATGAAAACATATGGCCGTTTAATCCGAAAAATACTTTATAGTTTCATATACTTCCACAAAGTACCGGGAACAATAACATATTTGGCCAACCCTACCCGCTTGGAACTTTAAAATCTTTGGATTGATAAAGTGGCAATTGTAGCTACCCAAAGGTGACCAAGAAAGTTACCTGCGACACCAATTGGTGTTAAGGGAACAAATTTGCACTATAACGTTCCGCCTTGTCCTTTGAAGTTCTCATTTGGCGACGCGACGACGCGAATATATGCCAATTCAATACAGAATGACGGCATTAAATTGTTCGTTTTTCAGCACCCTCAATAAATCGTTCAGAGCTACATGAGTATTTTACCGCCCACTCTTTTAGCTCTTGTTTTATATTGTTGTTGCTTCTCAAATTAGTTCTCCTCTGAGATTCAGTTTCAGATGAACTAACACTACTCTCATCTACAGAAACAGCTTCAAAAATGTCACAGTCACTACCTGATTAATGATGTTCATCAGTAGGATTACAGAAAGATGTAGTTTTTGTTTCTGATGTTGATGCTTCGGCTCGCAGTGATTCCTTTTATTTTCTTCGGTAGAAAGTACTAGAATATCTAAATTTCTTTTTATTCACCTTAGGCATTTTACAAAATTTTAATAAAGCTTAAAAGCAAGTAAAAGAAAGCACTAAAACAGAGCAGCACACGATGCAATCTGAGGCAATTACATTTATTAGGGTATATTAAGTTATGGTCACTATAAAGTAGCCGTTTTTGATCCCCGTGGCTTTTTAGTGGCAATGGATGAGCGACGGCTACTTTATAGTGACCTAAGAAGGTTGCAGTAACCATTTTGCTACTTTCAATGCTACTATAAATTAGAAGTAACTAGGTGTCGTGGCCGCGGCTACCCCGTATTTAAATTAAAGTAACAAAACTTAATGGAGGCATTATGGTAGCACTTGTTAGTAACCCCGCCTACATTGAAAAGTTACTATAAAGTTTTTGGTCTTTTATGGTGTCATATTCAAAGAGTCGGGAAGTTCCAGCCACTTCTTTAAATTACATGTTTGCCACTTGTAATCGGGGTGTTTATTTTCCACTTTTATGGTAGGTAGGCACTAACCAGTCACTCTCAAAATATAAGTGTCTATTCCTTATAGAGTAACATTTTAAGTGGCAGAGTGGGTCTAGGAACTATACTTTAGGGGAAGTGACATTTTAAAAAGGACTGGGAACTATATTTGCTAGTTGGGAGACTAATAACTGATTATTCCAGTCGCTTGAGAAAGAATAGTTTGAATGAAATAGAAAGAAAAGTGGTTGGCTGAACGTTGAAAAAACGCGGGACCATAGTAACTAAGAAAAAGACCAATAGCCTAATAGCTATTTCAATCAGTATTGATCGCTCTGTACACAAGTCTATTGATATTATAGTATAATAATAAAATATGTCTTCACTTCAATAAGAGTCACATTATATTTTTAAAACAGAACTCTTTAAAAAATATAATGTGACATTGACTGAACATTTTTCTACAAATCAGGAAGTTCACTTAAATGAATTAATACCCCGTGTATCAAACTAGTTAAACATAAAATTGTGCTGTCATCATGAGTGAGGAACTAATTTAGTACAGCCGTTTTATTTATTCCTACGAATTAATCTTCTAACCAAGTTTGCGTGCTACATTTCAATCTAATTATATGATATTAAGTCTTTAGACTATTAATTTGGTTAAATAACGACAAATCAGCACTTTTCAAGATACGGACAATTCGGTTTCAATCTTCCACAATATAAAATACATTGGTAGTGTCTGGAAAAAATATTAAAATTAGGGAAGTTAAATGAAATGTTTTTTTGAAAAACAGTAACCTAAATAAGTAATAAGCGAAAAACTCAACAAATCTTTGACAATTTTAATGATTTCTGATGTGTTGGATTTGCTTCCGCCACGAATAGCAGAATAACTATTAAAATATCGGAAAATCACAAAAAAATATCCAGAAAATTATATTTTAAATTAATGCTAGTTCCATCTTCCGCAATTCGTCATCTGAAAGCATGCAAGGTCCAAACCCCAAAATGCACAGTGCAAGACTGCGGTCTTCCTTATTTTCATGTTTATATGATATAAGAAATTACTTATTTTTTGTAATTTATTACAAATAGTGTTTTTCCGACAATTGAAGATTACTATTTTGAAGAAAGAAATGTTGATTCAGTATAATATATTGAAAAGTAAACATTTTCGTCAGACTCAAGATTCTAACAATTTTAAACTAGATTTTACAAGTTTTAAGCTTCATTCAGAACCTCGAAATCAGTGGAATAAATTAGTACTTTAATTAGCCGTAGAAGTTTGTTAACCTAATTTTAATGTAAGGATTCAGAACGTCTTAATTAGTGATAGTAATCTTCAATTATTGGAAAAAATTAACAAACTTTTGATTTTTCCACTAATTATACTTCAAAATTTGCGAGGAATGTCATTTTCGCCTTTGATTATCACCCGTCAAGAAAAATTTTGGTTAGAAATCAAAAGTTTATTGTTTTATAAGCTAAATATTAGGATTTCTCTATGGATACATCTGACTACCGCAAGCTGTTGCTAGGATATTTTATTAATTATAATTGTGTTTTTTAGATCTTCTGAATGATCGTAAACTAAAAAGTATAAAGTGTAATTGAAACCACTAATTATTCCACTAATTGCAATTAAAAAAGTAGAAAAAAGACTCAAAGTCTCGGTTTTCTCAAGTTTTCTACTTTTTTAATTTGAACCAGGTCTCTTTGAGAAAAATGGATGCATTCTTTAAATTTCACTAATTGCAAGGTTCTGAATGAAGCTTTATTTGCATTAAATTACTAAAAATATTATTTATTTAAATATTTTCTATGTAGAAAATGCCTGTAGTAAAGATCTATTAAAAAATGAAACACTTGCAATAAGAGTTTGCAGCAAGATCAAGACCGAGACCAACACTACTTATTACAGTGCCAGATTAAGATCAAGGGAGTCTTGGTCTTTCAATAATTGCTTTTCACTGAAGAAAAGCCTTGGATCGAAATATAAAAAAAATTCAGAGAAAAAGTGACAACAACTATCAAATGACTGGTCTCAATCATTCCACATCAGTGGCGTAACTATCGATGTGCCGTGTATCCGAAGCACACGGGCCCGGGCGCTCGGGGGGCCCGGGCTGCATTTCCATATCTATCACGTGCTATCGCGAATCAAGCAGAATCCTTCTGTTTCTGATGAGGATATATATGAAATGGGTCAGGTTCTATACCTTAAATACCCCAATGATATTGCCTATACGATTTCTTCTGAATTATTCTCCTTCAAGCAATGTTTCCGAAATAATTTATATGAAATCAATTGCATTTTTGAACTCACTGAATTTAATTTAATTAAAAACCTTTCATCGTCTTCTAGTTTCAGCGAGATTTTAACAGCGTGTCATATTTTTCTCACCATACCTGTTTCTGTGGCCTCGGCTGAAAGATCTTTTTTCAAATTAAAGCTTGTCAAAAATTGTTTAAGAAATACTATGGGCGAAAAATGGTTATCAGTTTTGGCAATTATTTCAATAGAAAATGAACTTGCCCGTACAATACACAATATTGTGTCAACTTTCGCCCATACTAAAGCAAGGAAAAAAGAATTTTAACATGTTCATGTTCCTATTTACATTGTTTATTTTAATTTAGTTAGTTTTGTTGTTGTTTTTTGTTTTGTTTTTATTTGTTTTTTATTTATTTGATATTTTATATGTTTTGGGTTACATATTCTGTGTTGCAGTAATAAATAATACTATATAAAAATTAATTTGATAATGTTATTTCTAACCTAAAATATGAGTGCATATTATTCAGATTAGTCTATAAGTATTGAAATATGTAGGTGTAATAGG